CTTTTGTTACCATAATCAATCATCATGTAAATATACTAAAAATACATTAATGAAACATCACAGATCTAGATTTCAATTATGAGCTAAGAATTTATAATTATCTCAGAGTAAATAAAGCCTTATTTGAAGAATCTTGAAGCGTTTATTGCATAAATGAAGGTTCATTTTTCTAAATATGACACTAACTACAACTTGAGTTTAACTTTAATGAAACTGGATTATATTCATTGATGTTTATAATATATGATTGAGATATCTTGGTTTATATCATCATTTGTAACTATAAGACCCGAGCTTCGATAATGATTAAATTTTTAAATTTTTCCTTAAAAGTCCTAAGTTATGGAATTTTATTGAAGACCTTAGATGCTGACGTCGAAGAAAAATTGGAGAAGGAAGCAAGTTGATTCAAGTCAGGTAGAAAAGTACAAAAAAAAAAAAAATCAAAGAAAATAGAAAAGGAGCAAGGCACAGTTGACTAGCTTAAGGAGAGACATGCCTTGGAGCGTACGTGGGAGGGTGCATATAGTCTCTCTTTTTTGCCTGTTCGACCTCCGATTGAATGCTTTTTATGTCGATTTCGATACTAATCCTAATATGACTTGAATGATGACCTACCCAAGATTGTTTTAGAAAATTCGGAGCCCTTACCAAACAAAAAACCTTGCTCAGGAAGGCACGTTTCATCAATATAAGTAGCACTCGAATTGTAGGGATCGTTAGGACGTGCTAGCATGCGAGCATTTCTTACCTTAAGTGGTTAGAGTATGCATGATTAAGACTCCATAAAGGCAATTTGGATGAGATGCTATGTATGTTATGAAAAATTATTGAATTGCCCTTAGGATGAGAATTTGTGATGCATGCCAACTTTTATGATTTCGGTTGTGCTAGAATGGAGGATGAGATATTGTGATTTGTACTCGAGGTGATTGATAGATATTATATCTCTATTGAGTTTGCTTGAACGTTTATATTGTGATTTCTATGCTTTAGGTGATTGATATGAATATCTCCCTAATAAGCATGCATGAATAAATAAATTGTGTTTCTCGTGCTTTAGGTGATTGATCGGAATATCTCTCTAACAAAGCATGCATGAGTGAACCAAGTTAAGATTAGAGTGCAAGAACTAGAGCAGTTTTCACATTAACTTAAGACAACAAGTTCTTAGTGGACCAAACACCCTACGATCATGAGCTATGATTAGAGGTCTAGACCTGGGTGTACCCAAAGATTGGATTAGCCCTGAGGAGCTAATCCGAGGCGTCCTAAAAATGCGAGATGAGGACTAAACTGCCTAGACACCCCTTAGCACCTAGTAAACCTCCATGACATTTAAGAATGATTAAGAAAGCTTAACATGTTTAATAGTAGTGCGAATAGTATCACCAGAACTCCGAGGCCACTTGAGTTACTATTAAGTGTAGGGTTGGATCAAGGTTGACACTGTGAATCTATAAATTAGTATTGAAAAAAAGACCTGGGACTACATGCGTAGTTAATTGTGTGTAGGAACTGGACAAAGGCTGAGGTGCAATTCGGTAAATTGTTCTTAGAGTGGACTTGCGACTACGTAGGAAATTTTTTAAGAATGAATATTTTTATTGAGGGTAGAAACGAATCAAGACTGACACTACGATTCTGTAAGCTGGTCCTAAGGAGGGACTTGGAACTACATGGGTAGTTCACTCTTCTATTGAGTGTAGAAATAGGTCTAGACTAACGTTGTAATTCCATAACCAGTCTTTGAGGAGACTTGGGACTACACAAGTAATCTTCAGGGTGAGTGCTTGTCATGACTCGATGTCCACAAGCTGCGGCTTAATTAGAAACTTGAAAACATGAAAAGACGCGGAAAATGAGACCATAAAAGTTTTTACATTAAAAAAAACATCAATATATTTTACATACAAATCCACAGTAAAGTTGGAATAATTTGGGCTTAATAGACAAAATGACTTAAAAGAGTAAAATAATGGAAACAAATCATGTGGTTCTATATGACACCTACTTCAGATCTGTTTTCATCCTCGAACAAGTCCTTGTCGCTTTAAAAGGATAAAAGAATATGAATTAATACAAATAATCAATAAGTAGCTTATTTGTAGGCTCTTAATCGTGTCCTTAAGGTGTGATAGAATATCATACTCTTTCAAATAACGTTCTTATTACAAAGAATCAATAAGTAGCTTACTTGTAGGCTTTTAATCGTGTCCTTAAGATGTGATAGAATATCACACTCTTTCAAATAATGTTCTTGTTCTTGACGGTCCTCAAGTTTTGTTATTGAATTTTGAGTTTTTGTTATGATCTAACCTTGGTTTTGGGTTTGAGTTCTTAATCTTAGATAGGACTAAAGAACTTAGTCATGAGGTTTTAGGTTCTTAGCTTTGAGAACTTTGGGGTTTTGGCCCAAGTTCTAGGTATCATACTTTAGTTGTTCTTCTTGTGCCGAGTTCATGTTCTTGCTTCTTGTTGTGTTCCCTATAACACTCTTCCAAAGATTTAAGGAACAAGACAAACCTGAAAATATAAAGCTCCAACTATTCCAAACAACATAGTTTGAACTTGTATTCAGAGTTTTATATATTCCCACAATACAACTTGAAACCTACACCCAAGGGTTTTTAGGTTCCCAACGATGTAGTCTGAAACCTGCATTCAAAGCTTTATATATTCCAAGCGATGCAGCTTGAATCATGATCGTGTTGTACTGTGGGAGGTTTAGGGATTTTTAGTTCATGGCTAAGATAATATATTTTCTTTGTGCTAACTAGGGACATATCTTGGTTTATTGTTTCATGAATCATAGCATATAGTCAACCTAGTAGCTATGCTGAACGTGCCCCTAAATTACTCTCCATGAAAAATTGCAAAGATCACATGATTGGTGCAAAACATGAACGTGAAATCCAGCAAGAAAGGTGGCTAGGGCATCTCATCTAGGTGAAGAAAACATAAGGCCCAAACGTGACATCCTACTAAAAACATGGTGCAGGGCATCCCACTAAAAGACGAAAACATGAGTCTTAGGAAGCACAGCGTGGTGGAAGATCTCGAGTCGCCTTAGGCATGATTAAAGTATTGCCTAACATTTTTTGGGGGTTATAGTAACTTTAGGGCATTGTCTTGTTCATGTCCTTAGAGCAGCATATCTTGGCATAATTTTATGAGCTAACCTAGGGTAATGCATAATGGTAACACATCCTATCTTCATGGCATGCTTAGAATCCGTGGCCCTAAAATATAGGTGTCTTATTTGTCTACCACATCTTATGAGCTTGAGCCATTCATTCCTATTTGTCATAACTCTTTAAGCTCGTGGAATCTTGGTGAAGGGAATTCCTTTAAAGAGGTTATTAGAGGTATTTTTGTCTTATACTATTCCAAAATTAATATATATATAGTTCTAAGAATTTCTTATGCCTTTTCATGTCTATATTTTCTTGGGGGTTGGTGGCCTTAAGGTTTGTGCTACTTTTCTTTGGAGTGTTTTCATACTCTCACATAAAACACTCAAATATTTATCTTTTTTCTTTTTTTCTTTTGTGAAATATGATGAATAAAATAAAGTTTAGTTTTCAATTTAATTATTGAAATATGGAACAGAATATTAATAAAAAATTTATACATTTTAAATAGAATTTTGAAGCAATATTGACGACTAAAAATAATAAACTTAAATAGATACAACATAAAACCGTTGGCTTAACAACAGATCAGAGTGGCGCAGCGGAAGCGTGGTGGGCCCATAACCCACAGGTCCCAGGATCGAAACCTGGCTCTGATATGATAAAAAGAGAGAAAGGCTTCCGACTTTGACTGTTTTTTTGAACTTTTTCTTTTGGGTATTAGACAAATTGGGCCCGATTCGGAGAGTGTTAGGCCCATTTGATTTATCCGTTGGGCTTCGGGAATCTTCGGCTTCCGACCTTTTGTTTTTATTCTTTCTCCAATTATGACGGTTTAATCGAATTGGGCCCATTTAGAAGGTATTGGGCCCATTGGATTTTCTAATTTAACACATTCAGATTTTATTGAATTATATTTTCTATTTTTATTTTTGTTTTATTTTTCCATATATATTTCTATATATTATTTTAATTTACAGTACACTTACAAACTAATTAGAAAAACTTAATTTATTTTAATTTCCAAAATAAGAACAACAATCGAACAACAATAATCCATAACCCATTATAAAAACTAGATCGAGGATTAAGATCCAACTTCTCAAAACTAACGACTCATAATCTTAAAAGTAAGGTCCTTAGATCATAACTAGGTTAAGAACATAGAACTCGAGACCAAAATTCTTGTACTAGACCATGACAAGAACTCAAAACTCAAAAACATAATCTAAAGGCTTAAGTTCTCAAAACAAGAACAAGAATATGACATAAAAGAGTGTCATCTGAGTACCCATCAAGAACATAATTAAGAGCCTACTAGTAGGCTACTTATTAAGTCATTGTACTCATTCTTGTATGATTTATTGAGTCGAATGCCTACAAAACAATCTTCACACGTGTTTGGAGCTTACCAAACATGCTTCAATGCGTAAGTCATATAAGAGTTTCAAAAAGTGTAACAAAAGTTAGGGTTTGAAGGGTTGTTAGGATTTCTATAGTATAAATCTTCATCATTTATTTTGAATAGATTGACTAGGCGTGAATCGATACCATCGACATGTTATGAGCTATCAAAACACCGAGGGTAATTACCGTAGCGTAGTTAACAGTCGAACTTGTTTAAATCAATTCAAGGTGAATTGAATAATCTCTAAACTCATCATAAGTGAGTTGGTTGGTGACCGTGACACCATTAGGGACAGCACTCGCACTAGCACTAGCACTATAAATGTCGAACATTGAATTGTTGTATTCGTTTTATGAAATTGACAGCCGATGCTTAATTAAGATAGTTGAGAATCAAAACGATATTATAAGTTTACGAAGGCAGTTGACCATCACTATAATTCAAAACGTGGCCTCCACCATTTTGCATACAATTAAAAAAAAAAGTAAAAATAAAAAGACTTAACAAGTAGGATCCTCCTTCCTTGTAGAATTTGTTGCTTGTATGAGTTGTATTCTAATACTATTCTCCTCCGCCTGTATTAAAAAAATAAAAATAAATAAATAAATAAAATTTAGTTAATTAATTTTGAATACTTGAAATTACACGTACCAGTAATGTGGTAACGGAGCAAACGGCATCCTCTAATTTCTCCAAGCACTCTTCCTGTTCTTTAAACATGCTTAACCGCTCCGTTAGCATGTACAACGTTTTCTCCAGTTCCTAGTATTTTATTATAAAAAAAATATAAATAAATAAACCCTAATTAATTAATAATATTTTGTTTATATAATTTCAAACCATTATTACTTTCAATAAATGTTAAAAGTTTGATAAATGATGATTATTTTTTGAAACAATTAAAATAAAATAAATATTAATATCTAATTAATTCTATTTTTTACATTTACAATATATATATAGAATTACCTCGGATTTGCGTTTGGTGATCATTGCCTCTAGTTTGGTCATCACTTCCATGGCCATGCTCAATGCTTGTTCCAACCCCTTTACGTCACTCTGTTTCAAATTCAATTCATAACTCACAATGTCTATATTAAATAATGACATGAATCGCTTGTTTTATGAATAATGATTGGTTTGGTTCAAGTTGACACACAAACAAAACAAATGTAGATAGCTAGCCAACGTTTTTTTACCCTCTCGAAGCTGATTTTGACCTTATTAATGGTAATTAAGATTAGTATAAGTCTCGTTCATTCAATTTAAGTAATTATAAGAAGTAGGACTATTGGAAGAGTTAGACGAATGTTCTTAATCTGGTGGAATACCTTTGTGTAGGTCGTTACAAACTTTGAGGGACAAGTTAAGCCAATCTTGAAAATAATATAGAATGTCGACTAAGGTCAACCAAGTAAATGACCTTACTATCAGTACGGTTGGAAGAGTTGTCTTTTGTATGTGACACGTGTCATGTGTTTGATATGACTGTTATGTTATAACGATATGATATGTTATGATAACATGTGATTTAGACGATGTGATACTTTATGATGATATGTTATGTTATAATGGCATGTTAGGTTATGAGATACCATGTTGTACTGTGACACAAATATGCTTGGCAATGAAATGTATGACATGCTACAACGCATGTATGGAAATGAGGAGTTTTATGATGCACAACCCCTAAGTAATGTTATGAATTGAACACAATTATTTGTGGGAAACAATCACACTCTTTATTAAGACCAATCGAGAAGCGATTATAAGACATTCGGTAGAATACTACTTCACTTTGCTCTACTTGAGATTGCCTGAGATTTCTTTGGATGAAAACCTAAGTAGGGTAGATGAGTATTTATACTAGATGCTATACATCTCTTCCAAAAATATCTAAATCTTTTCCCTAAAATATCTAGTATCTTTATTCTAAAATACCTAAATTATTTTACTAGAAAAAGTATACAATGGGCTCATATAATTATTGGGTTTGACCTTATTGAGCTAATGATGATATCTTAACACTCCCCAGCACTAGTCCTCATTTGCTCCACCATGTTGAGCTGACAAGAAACCTCTCATATTAGCCCTTTTGTAAACAAGTTTGTTACTTGGTCTTCTGTCTTGAGCTGCTGCATCTCGATTACTTCCTTCAGAACTTTCTTTATAATCACATGGTAGTGCACCTCCACATACTTTTTTTTAGCATGAAACACCGAATTTTCTGCGAGGCGAATTGCAGATTGGCGGTCGCAATGAAGTGGTATGGATATTTAATTTTCTAATGCAAATCCTTGGTTAAGAGTTTCAACCATTGTACTTTCTTGAGTTGCTCTGTACTCCGCTTCCAATCTTTATTTACCACAAGTGCTGGAGGAACCTGTACGATAGTGATTTTCTCTACTGGACTAAATGTTTTATCATATTCTAGTCCGTATTGTTGAGAGAACCCTGGAGCTGCAGTCCGAGCCTTGTATCTCACGATTGATCCATCCAAGAGACACATTATTTTGTAAACCCACTTGCAAGAGATGAGTTTGATATCTTCAGTCTTGACACTAGTTCCCAAGTTTGATTTTGCTCAAAGGTTTAAGTTTCTTCCTTCATTGCCTACTGCCAAGCCATATTTTGTGATACTTCTTCATACGTCTCTGGCTCTTTAACTCGTTTTCTATAATAGTTGTATTGGCATACTTTGAATTTGACTTTTGGATTGTGTCTAAACTATTGAGTTGTCATTTCCTTTTCACCAAGTTCACTTAATTGAGTCACTTCTTGCTCATCAACATTAATGTCACTTGGATTTTCAAGCATGTCAGCACTTAAGCAAATGTGTATAGTTTGCTCCCCCATCTTTTGTAGAAGAATTTCTTCAATGTTGTCCAAGCCTGGTAATACTTTCTTCTCTAAGGGTCAACCTGCTTCTATTGCACCACTTTGATCGTCAATAATGTGATTTAAACATCCTGAATCAATGATCAAGTCATCCTCGTAATCGATATACTCTCCCATCATCGTCATGAGCGCTAGCTCCGTCTTCTTCTATGACACATTGCCTCTGTATCCCATTCCTCCTTCACCTCCATGTTGGAGGATGCCACATTGCTTTCGATAGACTTTTTCCTAGACCAACATTCCTTGGACATGCAGCCCTTCTTCTCACCATTGTAGCAAATGCCTTCAAATCTCTTCCTTGAGAGTTTTTGTTGTTGTTCTTCTGAGCTCTCCCTAGTTGTGTAGTTCCTTAGTGGCTTATTAATTTGTCACCATTTTTGTATCCACGTTTGGTAGATGGCTTATTGTTGCTCCGACTTTCACTTATAGTAGAGTGCTTCTTCTTCACCCTTTAATGTGATGTTTTCCATTTATTTAGCCATGGCTTCTTGAATGACTAACAAATTTTCAAGCTTAGTGATGATTGAGTGGGTCATTCTTGTACAACAATAACAAAATTTCAATATTTTGGTCGCAATCCATGGATAATGATTCTCATCATTCGAGCTTCTCCAATGGCAAACGTCAGGTCAAGTTCAGTAATTGCTCGGTAGATCGACTTGACCCTCTAAAAGTATGAGCAATTGTGATGTCACGTTGTGAAATTGATAACAACTCATTCTTCAGAAGTTGTAGCCCCATATTTTTCTTCCTTGAGAACAACATCACGAACATGTCCATACTTCTTTTAGTGTCTTGTCATCCTAAATGTGCTCTAACATCTCTTCTTCGACTGTGGTTTTCAAGGCAGACATTGTTTTGACTGCTTTGATTCTCCATTTGCACAAGACACCATTAGAATCCTGCTCTAGCTGCGTAGTTTCGCTCCTACCAACGATCTCCCAAAGATTCTGTCTTTGTAAATAGGACATCATGCATGTCCTGTTGTAGTTGTTATTGTTGAGTTTTTTTTATTCCTCCAAGAATTTGGAAGTCACCGATTCTATTGGCTATACCTCAGTAATACCAAACAAATTTTTTTGACACAAAACTTGCAGAGTCATGGACTACTCACGACACAAAGAAACTTACTAATAATCTCAAGAAATTGTTTTTGACGTGGAAAGCCAGATAGAACCGCAACCACAGAGCATATACTAAAAATTCCAAGAGATCAGACAACCTATACCAACCTCGCTTTGATACTAGATTGTTGAACACAACTATTTGTGGGAAACACTCACACCCTTTATTAAGACTAATCGAGAAGAGATTACAAGACACTTTGTAGAATATTATTACACTTTGCTCTACTTAAGATTGCTTGGGATTTTTTTTGATGAAAACCTCGGTGGGGTAGAGGAGTATTTATAGTAGAGCCTATACATATATTCCTAAAATATCTATATCTTTTATCTAAATCTTTTCCCTAGGAGATCTAGGTATCTTTATTCTAAAATACCTAAATCATTTTCATAAAAATAAATATATAATGCTTTCATACAATTATTGGGCTTGACTCTATTGAGTTAGTGATGATATTTTAATATGTTACCTAGGATAATATGTGAGGAATGAATGAGGTTGTGTCGAATGATTTGTTTAAAATGAAAAGTACAGAAACCTCATGCATACTGTATATTCACATGCATGGGGATACTTCCCCTTTATGAGGAGCATGGACATGTACACTATGAGGATGGGATGATCATCATGCTTGGCACGGTGCACGACGGTTGTTGTAACTCCGGGCATCTGGCTACAGCCTAGAGGAGCTAGCGCGACAGTAGGCCTAGGGGATGTGCGAGCCCACCTAGTGAGCCCGCGCTCGTGCGTGTGAGTTGTGTGTAGGGAAGTACTACACATCCAATTTTTTTAGACTAGAGGCCGCCTAAGAGACAATGGTTTTAAATGATAGGTCTCAATTCATGTTACATGTGTTTACAATCTCTGACCCTAATAATAGGGTCAATTACTGATTATTTTCTAAAATACTCAAATCATGTGCTACTATTATATTTTCTATAAAGGCAAGACAGCCTTGTATGATTTTCGTAGGTTGATTTAGCTAATAAGAAAAATCTCTCTCTTTCAATAACGGCCCAAGCCCACTGCTAGCCGATATTGTCCTCTTTGAGCTTTACCTTTGGGTTTTCCCTCAATATTTTTAAAACGCGTCTGCTGGGGAAAGATTTTCACACCCTTATAAGGTGTGTTTTGTTCTCCTCCCCAACGAATGTTGGATCTCACAATTTCATCTTCCCTTCCTCATTTAAATGGAGATTTGTCATCCCATTTAGAGAAGATCTCCACGAGTTAAATGAACATTTATATGAACTATATCTCTCTATTTCGTGTAACCTTGTTAGGAGGAAAGAAAATGAAGAATTTCAAAACAAAACATGAAAACAAACAATTCTAGTAGTTTTGGAGTTAATACCTTGGCACCATGGAGTAGAGGGAGTTTGAGTGAGAGATTGGAAAGAACAGAAGCTAAGCAGCCAACTGATTCCTGGTTTCTTTTGTCCAACTTTGCCCACTGCTTGAGGAGAGTAACTTGAGGGAAGATTATTGTGTATAACTTTATCTCCTTCCTCAACTTTTCAACTTCAATCCGTTTTTCTAATATGCCATTTCTCATCCTCAAGTTCTGAAGCCATGCGCTGAATATTCTATCCTGCCACGGAAATAATCCACGATCGAAATATGTCAAAATAAATAAAGGAAGTAAAAAGTACAATTTGAAGGGAGAGATCTTTTAGAAGTAGAAGTAGGAACGTTGGTCACTTAACCTTTCAATTCTCTTTGTTGTTAAGAATAAGCATCTTATGAGTATTTACGGAAGAAATCACTCACTCACTCCCTAAAATTTCTCCTCAAGTAAAGAACCCATCTTTCTAATTGAAACTTGGTCGTAACTACCATCAATCCTCCTATAATTTGCTGTATAAGTTAGTAACTTATTTTACTACCATTCTACTCAATTTACTCCATAAGTTAGTGACTTATTCTACTAATTCAAGTTTATAAGCTCACAAATATTACCAATGTCCTCCGTCGATCATTGCAGAGTAAAAATTTAAATCATCAACTTTTAAAACGATAATCATATTTATTAATTGAGCTATGTTCGAATTGACGAGAATATCGTATTACAGTGATGATCCGCTAATCAAAGGGGCATTATTAGTTGCTTGAAGATGAAAAATGTAGCTTAGAATAGTTGAGTTATACTCGAGAAATGTTCGATATTAACCAAACATCTATAAACAAGAGTTAAACTTGGTAAATTTGAGTAAAATCACTTTTTTACCATTCACCCTTCACTAAAAAGTTGGGATTATTATGATGATCACAATAAACCATAGGGTAGGTTAAAAATTCATCCATATAAATCAATAACTATAATATGAAATAAACATATATAGAAGTAATACCTGAGCAATTGTTTTAACGTTAGCCATGGACCTCTCAGCTCTTACATTAACATACCTCCATTGCAACAACCTATTCTGCAAAATCCGAAACCGATGAAGCTCCGCCGCTTCCACCGTCCCTCCCGCCTTCTTCGATCTAAAAAACCTCAAAACTCCGTTCACAGCACCGCCTCGACGACCACCTAACTTCCCTCGCCCTCCGTCTACAACCGCAGGCTCCACCGTCTGCGGTGGAGGCAGAAGGGGAGACCCCAAGGACCGGCCCGGCGACAGTGCCCAAGCGGACGGGGTTGTGGCCGGGGATGACTTCAAGAACTTGGAAAACCCTGGCTTGGTTTTACAATTCAAGGGGTTTAAATTCTCTTCGTCCTTGTTGTTGGCTCTTGACTTTGTCACTGATTTTGATCGGTGGGTGGTTGAGCGTTGGCTGGTGTTTGCAGCGCACGAGTTGTTCTCCGGTGCGGTTATGGAGGCGGAAGAGCGGCTTTTGCTGCGGAGGAGGGCGGTGGGGGACGGCGGCGGCATAAGGGCCGGGGAGTTTGGACGGCGGAAGCGTGTGTTGTCCATTTTGAGGTGGCGTAGGAATGATTTTTGGTTGGTTTTATGTTGGGGAAGAGTGAGAAGTTGAGAGCACGTTGGTGGACAAGGGAGAAATGCAACCCACCAGCTTCTCACTCATCATTGCTTCATTGACTTTGACTTTTTTAATCTTACATTAAAAATTTAGTTTCAAAATTTCTTAAAAAAAAAAATTCATATGGAGTATGCACCGGTTAGGTTGAATTTTTTAAAAATAAAAAGTTGATTCAGCCGGTGAGTTGACATTTTTATGTCAGGTCAATCTAACCAATCGAAAAATAGGGTTACAACTTAGCTTAACTTTATTATCTTTTTAAGATTAGTATGAAAATTAAGAATATTTAACATTGGTAATATTCGTTAGCAGTACGTTGTGACTTGTGAATCTTTGATATTTAAATTTTATCAGATTTTAGTTATTAATATAATGTATTGCAATTATGATCTTTTCAAATAATTAAAAAAGGAACCTTCTGACAATGCACGGTTAGATTAGGTTAGATTGTGAATTCTATTCGGGTTGTTTAGGTCACCAACTTGACAAAGTAAATCCTTCTTTCAAACATTTAGTATTTTTAGGCATGGCAAGTCGGGACACATCGGGGGTGTTTCTCTTGAAGAATTGTACCATGTTCCTTGTTATCTAATCTCTATGCTTCTACATTTATATGCTGAAAGGACAGGTCGATAGTTTAACTATTAGAAAGCGTCTCTTGTTTTGTTAGTATATTTAAGGGCAAATATGTTGGGTTGAGTCGGATTGAGTTGGAGAAATTTTTGGGACTAACTCAAAATTTTGAGTTGGTTCAGTTGGTGATACGAGCCACTCCAATAGAGTTGAGAACCCAACTCTCTATTTTCGTTGAAGTTATCTATTTTTTTTTTTAAATGAACTATTCGAACAAAAAAAAAATACTAATAACTAAAATTTCATAAATCTCAAATATCAAATATTCACCCATCGTAATGCATCACTAACATTAATTACAAAATTAAATATGATTAACCTACTCAATAATCCTAAAGGGTCAAAAGAGCCTAATATTTACGAGAAAAAATAAATTAAAAAAATCAATGAATTTATACGCGAGTATAGAAAGTAAATTACTAGGTGTGAGGCATCTGAGGCATTGTCGATCATGGATTGAAGGTTTCCTAAAATTCATCTCGACAAATTTGTTCATCTTCTTCGTCGTCGTCATCGTAATTAGAAGAACCATAGGAAGATGGACGGTTGAGATCTACCAAAGCTTTTGGTAATCTACAATAACCATTATAACTGTTCATTCTCTTATGACTTGCATTCTCCTCCTTCACTCCCTTTCTTCCCTCTCTTCTCATCATTAGAAGACACAATGCCGCTTCTGAATCCTCCATCGACATCTCTGCTTCCTTGTCTCGATGCTCATCTTTGTGCTGCTTCGACCGTCGCTCTCCAATGGTGAGAGTTGAATGTGGACGATCGTGGTTGATCATTGGTATTGACTTCGGCATCGACATCGACGTTGATTTGGAATTCGACAAGTGAGACCGCACGTGACCACTCATAGATTTGCCGTTGGAGAAGTGTTTGACGCGGATTTTGTACTCTTTTTCTTTATCCATAGATGAGGAGATGGAAACCTAACCAGAGATGAATTCAAATGAGTGATTTTTTGTAGGCTAAGTTATTTAAATGAAGTACTTTTAAACTAAAATATCTTCAATAATATCACAGAGATACTTCAACTTTCAAAAAAAAAAAAAAAAATTGTTAGTTTTAGATTTTTGAATATATTATTTTTAAAAAATAATATTTAATATTCAAATAAATATTTTTTTCAAAAGCTGAACCTTTAATTTTTTTAAAAACTTCAAAAAAAAATCTTTAAAATTAAAAAAAAAAAAATTAAAAAATACTCTTGCTACTCATAATATATATATGTATATAACAATTGGGCATATTTTAAAAATACTCATAAATTTTTTAAAAAGTAAACTTTTTTTTTTTTTTGAAGATGTTCTATCAAGTGTATAATAGACGGTCACGGACCGTCTATAACTTTTTGAACTTTTTTATAAAGATTAAGGTTGTTGATATTTTTTAAAGGTAATTTTTTATTTTTTTTAGGTTAAAAGGTATTAATGAAACTTTTTTTTAGTTTAATAATACTTTTTTAACAAAGTACTGATTTTCATGCCAAAATTAAATATACCTGCATTTTCTTAAATTATTTTAAAGTTTAAGAATATTATTCAATTTTTTAAAAATTAAACACAAACTAAAAGATTAGGATGAGGATATGCAGGATTTGGAGTAGACAAAAAATTTTTGCTGACGTGAGGAATAGGAATCTAAAATTCGAGTAAGGTGACAAAGTATTCTTAAAGGCGACTCAGATGAAAGATGTCCTAAGATTTAGATGAAAGAGCAAGTTGAGTCCACACTTCATTAGACCCTTCGAGTTTCTAAATCGGATTGGATCGGTGACATATTGATTAGTGGTCATATGCATGTTTCAAACCCCTTTTACTTGCTGTCATGTTTAGTTGGATCTTTACTATTCCTATCGTGTCAATACCAAGTGTGGTCACCGTCAAAACTAAAATATCTCAAAATTTACTATGGGGTGTGACTAGATATCAATTCTTACCCAGATTATAGTTTATTAAAGCTTTGGTTTTTGTTTATTTTCTTTGGTTTTTGTTTATTTTCTTTTAGCATATAACAATGCTTTCTTACAAATGGTTTTTAACCTATTTTCCCACTCATGTTTTTTAAAACACATTCTCTCAAACATAATCAAGACTCCATCACCTCATAATACACCTTCCCAAAATTTTCAATTTAAAATTTCGAAAAAGTTTCTTGTTTGGAGACGAATGAAATGATACACCAGAATCTAGAATTTAATCGAACTATGCACATTGAGGATTAAGCATCTCCAATATCTTCTGCTAAATTCTCAATTCTATGCTTGCGAATACTTTTATTTAAAACTACATCTTGAATTTTATCAAATTTTAATTTTTCAAATTTCCAAGAATCGATGGCAGCAACAACAATGTCTTAAAACTTGAGTAAAGACATCAAAATCAATACTTTTAGTTCTCTCTTCAATATTAATTTCTATAAAACTTAGTTGACTTATAATGATATTGAATTCATTTATATAATCAGCAACAGATCCACCTTTAAATATCTATAAATTGAACAATTTATGTATCAAAGATATCTTGCTCATAGCCGATAGTTACTTTTGTATACATGCAACAAGAACTTCAACCACAATGACATGTCTTCTCTTTGATGATGTTGGTGCCACATTTTTTGACAGTATCAATCGGATCAAACCTTAGAGTCTTCCAATCCTTAAACGTATATAACTATGGCTAAGAAAGGTTTAAAAAAAATGTTATTATGCATACCAACAAAATACAACTTTTTTTTTGTGGCTCAATCATAGAAATTTCAAATATAAGTTTTTTTTTGTGGCAAAAACTTCAAATATAAGTTTACTTGAATTAGAACAATCCTATATTAGATGACCTCTCAAATTGTAAATAAGATAAAAATATGCTTAAATAACTAGTGTTATCCTGTCTTTTTCAAGCTAGGGGTACGTTAAACCCAAGAACTCAACCCAACCCAACTAGAATTATAAGGATTGGATTAGGTTAAATAACATTTCAAGTAGCACCGGATCCGATTCGGGTAGGGTACAGGTTCAATGTGCAAAGAACCAGGTCAACTCCGACCCAACCTAACCCGATTCTCGGTCAGTGCATTAAAGATCCATCAACATCGGTGGAACTAGAGTACCCTCCTCGCTAGCCGCCACCTACTACAACACAACATAGTCCTTACACAGTCAACGACTCCACACTCACATCCTCCACACAATGTGCTCTTCAGTTTTTCAGTTGGCACCTTCTTGCATAGTCACTATCTTTGGTCGGTGTCTTCTCACCGGTTGCCACTCAATTCTTCTTCATTCCTTCCACCATCATACTCTACAAAGTTCTTAGAGAATATTTTTAACCTAATATTTAATTTCTATACAAATTAACAGAGGTTTATGTGATAAAATTCAGAACTCGTGATATGATTAGTAGTCCAAGTCTCCAAACCAAAGCAATCCACGCCGCACATTTTGCGGTCAGAGTTGATAACAGTCTATAACAAATTCACATGGCCACTCACATTAAAACATTTTGAACAATACACAAATGTTGGGTGATCAAACCAGGATAGCTCTTCTCTAGAAATTATAAACTTCGTATCTCACCTAATAAGTTCGATTTTAAGTCGAACACGTCTCTGTTGCACATTTCAACTTCCAAAGGAGTAAATGTTGTGGCCAAACTTGAACAGAAGCTCGAACCTCCCTGACATGCCATTCATGCCGTGTGCGAATTTTCCACCTGAACAAAGTGTTAGAAAAGCCAGCTTCGTGTTACGTTTACCGCTACAATGCGCTCACATCTTACTACTACTAAGAAAACTTCAAATCTACAATCAAACGATCCAGTCATTCTCGAGCAATGCAGTGTTTTTGTCACTTGGATGCATGGAAATATAGAACATAACTACCGGTTTTTCTAGTGAAACAAAATCTTCTCATGTGAACAAGAGAAGAGTGTTACACGGATCTCCACAATAATATGATATTGTCCACTTTGAGCATAAGTTCTCATGGCTTTACTTTTGGGTTTCCCCAAAAGGCCTCATACAAATAGAGATGTATTCCTTACTTATAAACCCATGATCATCCTCTAAATTTGCCACGGTGGGCCGGCCCAACCATGTATGTGTAAGTCTTGATCTTTAGCATGTCTTAACAAGTATCAGCTTGTCAAATTGTTTTATCTAATCGAGATTGGATTGAAGACTTTTGTTCCGTATTCAATAGAAAACTCAAATATTAGCAGTTACGAGAGAGAGGAATATAACATACCTGTTATGAACAAAACTTCTGTTCTTAATTAGTGTTCAACAGACTGTGTTGCGTTTTCATTTGATACAGGTGAAATGCCTTGTTCAATACACTGCCCAAAAAAAATGCAAACAAATCTTAAGATGGAACTATACAGACAATGTTGATGAAAACAGTCATTGCGCCAAATACAGTAAACAATACCAATAGAATAGGAAAGAACTAATCATTGCAATAAATGTTGTACCAAAGAAGACACATTACTTGCATGAATACATGTGTATAACTGAGAGTTACTGGTAGTGTTATTAAGATTCAGCCACGGATGTTGCTCAAGGTATGTGTGCACTCTTGTCATTGTTGCCTGAGAAACTCTCCATCAACTTACACTTTTGAGTATAATGACATAGGTATACACTCAATGTTGTAACTCCTTTGGTTCGGGATTGTCCTTCTTTTGTAAATTTCATACATCAATGAAATTTGTTTCTTATAAAAAAAAAAAAAGAATAGTACTTTTGATTATTTTTAAGTATTGTGTGTTCTGAAAGAAGAGTCGTACTCTAAAGGGTAACACTTTTTCTGGAGTAATCATTTGGTAGGGTATGGCTTTTTTAGAAGATCAGGATGGAAGAAAACGCACTCAATTTACGAAGGCTATTTGGAATGGTGCCATCTACTACGTATCTTGAGTAGTGAGGGAACTCCTCTTTTTGGGTCACCCTTTCCAAGGAAGCAAAGAGATACCCTGGATGAATCTTATTCGGGCTTATTTATACTCAACTTGGATGGAACGAAATCATAGGATTTTCAAATCAGAGGTAAAAACTTATCCAGTCTTCTTTGATTTCCTTGCTTTAACTTGGTGTAAAATGGATTCTCTTTTTAACTCTTATAGCTTATCTTCTCTTTTTGTCCAATTGGAGATGTTTTGGATTGGGGCTCTTCTTATCCACTTCTTTGGTAAATTTCATTCATCAATGACATTATTTCTTATCCGAACTATACCCCCCCTTGTTTCAAGGGTTGTGCTTTCCTTCTTAATTCACAAGTTTGATCATCATTACCTAGCGTTCAGTGAGACTCGCTGCCTATATTTCTTTCTGTATCATAAAATTTATAACTTTGACTAACCTCTGCTTCTAATGGTCCTCTAGTTCCATCTAACAGTTCTATCTTACCCATTCCTACAAAGATAAATTTCACCTGACGAAGCGTTCGCCTGTAACCAAAGCGTCACAACGCTCATCGAAGGAAGTTGCTTCAATTCAATTTATGTGAATTTGAATGGAGCGATGCTGGTTATACTAATGTTTCCCACCCCTATACATGTTTCCTTTTCGTCTATTTTTTATCTGAATAAAACTACTAGAGGAACACACATGATTTTTTTTTTTAATTAATAACCGAACCTTCGAACAAATCAAAGGAAAGAATACAAGGGCATAAAAGAAATGCCCACAAAAGGGTGCCAACCAGTAGGGCATATCAGAAGAATACAAAGAAAGCCCACAAGGGCGTGCTAGAAGAAGAAATGATTACGAAAACGATTACCAAAGAAACTAGGCTTTGTATTCTTCTTAGAAATATCATATGCCAGATTTAGTTCAGAGAAGGAAGCTGTAATCTACGCCAGTCAAAACAACAGTTCCTATTTGTCTCATAGGCAAAATGATTTAAATAAATAAAATTTAATCATTAGAACTAAACTAAAATACTCGAGGGATTATCTCCAGTTTAACTTTATAGATTACCTAGAGATAAACTACATCAAAATATTTTGATAATGAAATAAATACTGCCAAACAAAGCAAATAACTAACTATAAATATCATCTTAATAGTAACTTAATCCTGATTACTAAAAGCCATTGTCTCTTTGTAGCATGTCTTACCTATTTGTTTTAATAGGCATGAGTTTATATTTTTGTCTATAAATTAAAAAAAGACTAAATAGGTTACCTGCAGAATATATCCATGCAGCCAATCCAGTGTTTGTGGAAATGTAGTTGCTGATATATTAACCACTATCAAGCCCTGTGGCCAATAATTTAATGAGCATATTAACAAATGACATTGGCTAAACTTGATTACTGTTCAATAAGCCACACACCATCAGACCACTAATTCCTAATAAGAATTGCTTCAATCTGTATACAGAAAAACAACAATTGTTTAGCTGAGAACAAACCTGTGATTTGAATGAGCAAAGATAGCCCTGAATGGTCTTTAAATTAGCTATAAGCTTATTCTTATCCTGAAACAAAGAACATATCAGAAATCACAATAATAATAAAGTAAGTGATATAGAAGTGAAGGACGAGCACAAAGGAAACAAGGAAACAGCCCAGATAACAGTGATTATTATCTCATGATGAAAGAAGTCTTACTCCACCTTCCTTTCAAGATAAGATGGAACATTTGGTCCTGGGAGGAATGAGAGAATTTTTAGAGGGTTTGAGAGATGTTGGAAAAAGGTGTCAGCTCTTGCCAAATTGGAGTCCTTTATATCTTGTTAAGCCTTTAGACGTTGTTTTAGGCTTATGTTTGGGTGTTATTTTTGTATGCCCCTTTTGTATTCTTTCTCATTTATTCCCAATAAAAGCTCGGTTTCTATTAAAAACGAATAACAAACTTCATCTCAAACTCATAGTAGGGAAGGATAAGGTGGCCATTTATCATCATTAGTTTGCTAATGGTACAGTTCTTTTTTTTCTTTTTTACTGTTCTAGGAAAAATGAGTCATTTTCATTCTGAATCAAATTTTAACATTTTTAGGCCATGTTGAGTCAATAGGATTAATAGAGGCAAATTCCTTCTTATTTTATAAAAGACTGAGCATTCCTTAAGAAAAATGAAAAGATATACAGGTTACACAATTGAAATTTAAAGAAGAAAAACCAAGAAGAGCCCAACTACTCTGAGAAGAGACTCAAGTTAAGCAAAATAAGACCCAACAGATAATTACAAAAGTCTTAACAAATAAAAATTCAATGTGAGACATGAAATCTAACAACGGACCACATCTCACCCACCGATCTCTCAACTCTTCTAAAAGTTATATTCTTCTTGTTCCTCCAATGCTCCCTAACAAAAGCACACAAACACACTAACCACAACAAGCGGCCCTTTCATGAAAGGGGAGTGGGAAAAAAACTCCTCGACCATGAAACTGTCTCTTCTTAGCCAGCCCACCTAAAAGGAAATAACACCCGAAAAAGTTGATCCACGACGATCTCACAAAAGACTGGAGCCCCTTCGTGTAGTTTGGCTCCCATTTTGTTGATTTCACTGTTTTTGTATGCACGTGTACGCTTTTATTGTTTTCTCATGCTTTTAGTGTTTTCTCAGTGAGACTACCTTTTTAAAAAGAAAAAAAAAATCTAAGAAATTCTTTCATGGATGCTACTAGTAAGGGCTTTTTCATCAACTCTACATTAAAATATCTTTATTCATAGATATTTTCAAAAAATTAATATGCTGTAGCCACCTAAGTTTGACATTAAGGGGAAGAATGAGAAATTTTGTCTTCACAAATCTTTGCAAGGATTGCAATAAAATAAGGTTCAAGAGCAATGTTGGAATATTTAATCAAGCACTGAGACTTGGAATCAAGAAGAGCAAGTCTGATCTCTTAATTCCCTATCAAAAGCCAGAGAGGTATTATTTTGTCAATCTACTTATGTTGACCACATGGTCATCACTAGGTTGATATTCTATTAGGTATTTCATCTCTCAAAAAAATTGGAGATGTTAAAAGACTCATCGGACATTGAGGTAATAAGTATAAAATTGATCTTTTTCACAAAAGCACACACTTTATCTCTCAAACAATTTGGAGACGTTAAAAGACTCATCGAACACTGAGATAATAAAAAGAAAGACATGAATCTTTTTCCACAAAGGAAATACGTGCTTGACCTATCATCTAAGATGGGAAATCTAATTGCAACTCATGACGGATGGAGAACTGTTTAAAGAACCTTAGAGGTATAGAAGAACAGTTGGAAAGTTGAATTACCTAAAAGTGATACAAACAAATAGAGCTTATTCAAAAAGCATTGTGACTTGGCACATAGTAGAGTAAGAAACAGAACAAAGAACCAACCATGAACACCTACCATTTTCTCTTGATTTCAGATAGCTGACCATGCCATAAATTGTACATTCAAAGATGCTTCTATCTAAATTCATATCCAAATACGGGATTCTCTTTTATAAGGATAAATCTACAGTCTCCTATGCGATAGAAGTTTTAAACCAAATACCATGACATTAAATCCAAGTTGAGCACAAACTTCAAAAGCAAAAAGTTCTTAATCAGAAAAAGTCCCATATAATTGTATGTTCCTAATATGACCATTGAATATTTAGGGAGTATATATACCTGTACAGGACATTTGTCATTGAATGTGCGGGGGGAGATCCATTCCTCTAGTAATGCCTGAACAAGATAAGAAGTGTATAAGTTACAATGAAAACTTGCGAGAGGCTATAAACAAGGCTAAAATAAAGACCGAACACATGAGAAAATTTGTGTAAATTGTGCTTGATCCAATTCGTTGTTGCTCACCACTTCATGCTTTTGCAGAATGTTGCTCACCACAAGCTTTTGTTCCTCTTCTTTTCTTCTTTTTAAACAAGAAAACTTTTTTCCCGCTTAAACTTTGATGGATAAAAGATGTTTAATGCTGTCTATTGCTTAACCTTTTATGTTCGTACTTCTTAGTTATTTAGTTTTCAAATGTTAAACTTACGTCCTTTCTCTCTTTCAAAGTATTAAATATATACAATAGTTCCCATCCAAATATATATACACATTTTTTGAAAAATGATGTGTTCCTAGCATGAACAAAGTTATATGTTTTTACAAATTAACATGTCTAGTGGCATATGCCATGTCCATGCCATTATTATTTTGAGTCCATGTTTCTTTAGATTTTTTACAAATAAAAAAAAAATCAAAAAGAAACTAAACAAACCTTGTGATCAAATTCAGCCATTTTTAAGACTATGGGTATGATTATTGGCTCAGCACCAGATTTATCTTTCCTGACAGAACCAGATCTATTTGTCTCCTCTTTATTGGGAGTTTCATCTGAATAACATCATAAAATGCAAAATAGTTTTCTCAGGCAACCAAATCTAAATTGGTCATAAATATGAACAATAGGTCAACATTCATCAATTCCATGTGGAGGCTAAACAAAATATTGAATACATCAGCACAAATTCAGAGTTCGAATTAACCTGTAATTCCAGAGTTATTTCCTGCTACGTCCACAGATTCCAGAGAATCCAACCCTTCATTCTCTTCTTTGGTGTGCATGCATTCTTTTGAAGGAGAACACCTAATGCTGGTGCCAGTCCCTTTTGTATTTTGATGAACAACTGGACAACTACTCTCCATTTGTTTTGCACTGTTATTATCTGATGTTGCTGACAAAGGGTTGTTTTCAATATCTTTTGCTGGCATATTAGCTGGTGTCTTGCTTTCATCATCCATCAAATATATACTGGGATCCAAATGTATTCCCTAAATTTTTTATAAAGCAAACCAAATTCATATAAAAAAGACTATTCCCCGAAGATAATGTTATTAGAGAAAAGAAGTAGAAGAAGGAACTATTTGTTATCTAAGTGAAATTCAATTCATTAAGAAACAATATGTTCATTAGTTTATTTATTAACTATACGACTTATTCTTTCATCTGTTAAATATCTATGACAAATGAAACTACTGCATGCATGCTGCTTCAAAAAAATTCATACACCTCACTCATTTTTCTCTCTTTTTTTTCTTTTGTTTGTGTTAAGAAACAACCTTCACAAGTTGCAAAGGCATTAACTTTTTTTTTTTTTTCCTTAAAGGAATCAAAACGTTTCATTTTGTTGATGCTTGAGAAGTTGTGATTTGAGATGAGAGAAATACAGACAAATAAATAAGCAACTACCCTCCCCCGTTAGAATGCTAGCTAATACATTCTCAGAAATAGGACTTTCTATACCATTTGTATTAAAAGTCTAAGTTTGCATTTCTCCAAGGCAAGATTTACCTCGATTATTATAGGCTTTCCATCTTTCATAGCTTTCTTTAAGTCACCAGCCAAACCTATACAAAAAATATTGGGTAACAGAGGCCACTAACTAACAGGATAGCAACAAGCTCCACAACTGAAGGGATGACCAACCTTTACGAACAATTCTGCATTCTCTACAGAATTCAGTAATTAACTCCTCTGGGGAGCTAAAATCCCGTGCCCATACAGGAGTAGATGTCAATGGAGCACTGAAATATTTAAGGGAAAGGAATAAGCATTTCAATAGGATTCACAAAACATAGAAGTGTGGCAAAAATGGAATTCATATGCGGACCACTAATATCAAAGTAATTAATTAAAAGAAAGGATTCTGTTTCTTGTTACATCTCCACCCCAGGCAGGATACTAATGAGATAAACGGACAAAGAAATGAAGCTAAATAAATAAAAGATGAATTATGATTCGTATTAAACCCCTCACCCCACACACACCGTAAACTCTTTTTTCCCACTTTACAGCGTTTAGGAAGATTTTAGCTTCTGGATGACTTTGAGAATCTGCTTTTGATTAAATGATAGTCAAGAAAGGAATTGAAAAATCTACAGCATTGAAAATAAATTCCTTGCCATTCGGTCTTGATTTTAGAGGTAGGAATGTTAATGTTGGAAATTTTTCACGATCCAAATAAATAACCGAAGCCGAAGAACAACTTGAAGAGAGAGAGCTTTTGAAAGGAGGAACCTCTCACAATATTTATAGTGGAGATTGCACAGCCGATCTCCTAAACTTCCTCCTCAAGTTCGTAAACTTTATCCTAAAATTAAACAACTACTAACAAATTTTCCTAATTGATCTCCTACATTTTCAAATCAATATCTACTAAATAATTATCCTAAAATAATAACTTCTTTTGATAAGTCAAGCTTATTAACTCACATTCTCCTCCGTAAGATTTTTCACTCCCAGCAATTCCTGCATCTCTACAAACTTAACCCTTGCTAGGGCCTTGGTTAGAATATCAGCACGTTGCTCTCTAGTGCATAAGAACTCCACAATGATTTGTCTTTTCTCAACACACTCACAGATGAAGTGGAAGCGAGTGTCAATGTGTTTGTTGCGTCCGTGAAATACTGGATTCATCATAAGTGCAATCATGGATTTGTTATTGATGTAGAGAGTTACCGGCTTTAGTTCACTTCTAGTCACTTCGCTCAACAAATTTCTCAATCACAATGCTTGGCACAATGCCGTAGTTGCTGCATGAACTCGGCCTCACAGAAAGATAGTGTCACAGTTCGCTGCTTCTAAGATTGCCAAGAGATCAAATTCGCGTTGAGATAAAACACCATTCCTGCGGTGCTTTTTCTATCGTCAATGTCTCTAGCTAAATCACTATCGATAAAACCGACTAGTTCTTCAGGACCTCGCCCTCTTTGATACTTCAACCCATAGCTTGTGGTTCCCTTCACATAACTGAGAATGTGCTTAACCGCTTGATGATGCATCATGGTGGGCTTTTCCATGTACCTACTCATTATTCCAACAGCGTATGAAAGGTCCAGACGAGTATGAGTCAAGTACCTTAGACTTCCGATAACACGCCTATACTCAGTGGGATTCACCAAGCTTCCTTCAGCATCTTTCCCGAGTTGTAACTTTGCTTCCATGGGATACTTGGTCGGGTTGCATTCCGCCATCTTAAATTGCTGCAACGACTTCTTAGCATAGGTTGATTGCTTTAGCGTGATGCAATCTTTCCTTCGGTCCACTTCAATACCGAGGTAGTATGTGAGTAACCCGAGATCAGTCATCTCAAATTCTTTCATCATCTGCTACTTGAACTCTTTGACGCCTTCCACACTTGTGCCAGTGGCGATCAGGTCATCAACGTACACGCCAACGATGAGTGTTTTCAACCCGTCGTTTTCTTATATACACTGCTTGTTCTTGTGAGCACTTCATGAAATTTAGACTCTTTAAACTCTTGTCCAGACGTATGTTCCACACCCTTGGTGCTTGCCGTAAACCGTAGAGGGCCTTTGATAACTTGTACACTTTGTACTCTTCGGCTTTGATGATGAACCCTTCAAGTTGGACAACATACATTTCTTCTTGGAGATCACCATTTAGAAATGTTGATTTGACATCTAAGTGATGGACCTCCCACCCGTGTTGAGCTGCAAGGGTAAGAATCAACCATACAGTGTCCAGTCTAGCCACAGGCATGAAAACCTCCTCAAAATCAACTTCTTGTCGTTCCACGTATCCCTTCGCCACAAGTCTAAATTTATACTTGATGACATTTCCTTCACAATTCATCTCCAGCTTAAACACCCACTTCAAACCAATGGACTTGTGTTCGGACGGTAATTTAGTTAGTGCCCATGTCTTGTTCTTCTCAATGGCCTCAAGCTCCTTTTGTATGGCCTCCTGCCACATCGTCTCAGTCAAACCTCACAGCAGGTTGTCAACTCCTCGGCCGCGAGCAACACTAACTCATCAGGATCCAGTTCTACTTCAAGTGTATCCGCATAAATTTCAGCAAGTGAACGAAACTTCTTTGGTCCATCCTCTGTTGTGGATCCTCCTGTGATCTTGTTTGAGCTCTCTTGTTCTAGAGAGTCCATCACGCCTGTCGGTGTCACCGATGATGACATGTGTGGACTTGGTGGTGTTGCTATAGGGGCACTTTCTAAGTCTGTTGCATCTCCCTCTTCTTCCAAAGTAGTGAACTCTGTAACAGTCTGCTTGTTATCACCAACGCTACACCAATCCCACTTCTTCTCTTCTTCGAATACAACATCTCTACTTAAATGAATTTTCTCATGTTGCGGATCATACAACCTGTGTGCCTTGGTTCCATCGTCTATGCCGAAGTACACCATCTTTTGGCTTCTGTCATCAAGCTTTCTGATATATGGTTTTGCAGTCCTAACATGTGTTGTACAACCGAAGACTCTTAGGTACTCGAAGTGAGGTGTCTTACCGAACCATGCTTTGTAGGGGCTGCAAGTGTCCAGCGCCTTTATCGATAAACAATTTAGAAGATAAACCGCATGTCGTATTGTCTCGCCCAAGAAAATCGTCGGGACTTGCATGCTCTTGAGTAGGCTTCTTGCAGTGTTTATTATGGTGTGATTTCTTCGTTCGACCACACTGTTTTTGTTGTGGAGTGTATGGTGCAGTGAGTTGACGCTTGATACCTTCTCTATTGACGGAACTTGTAGACCCAGCTTAGCTATGGTATGCAAGACTTGGGCACGTGAACTTTCAGACTCTCAAAATGATGGGAGAGAAAAAGATGGCTACGAGGCTACCCAAAATCACACCCGAACCAGCTATGTGAAAGTTGCCTAGTCTCCAAACAAGCAAGGCTGTTGTTCCCAGCTCAAACCAATTTTCGTGCTGAGTGACCACTGCAACTAGTACATGCAGATTTGTGTGGCCCGATCACCCCATCATCGATTGCTGGTAATAAGTATTTTCTCTTACTTGTTGACGATTACAGTCGTTGGATGTGGGTATACATGATACCAAATGTTGGAAATTGCCCACGACCAAAATATGTCAAACAAATAACTTAAGCTTTTTTTTTTCTTTTTTTCTTTTTTTTTTGTAGTAGCAGTAGAAATAACATAACATACATCTCATGAGTATTCAGAGTGAGTGGAGATTGCACAACTGACCTCCTAAACTTCCTCCTCAAGTTCCTAAACTTTCTCCTAAAATTAAGCAACTACTAATAAATCTTCCTAATCGTTCTCCTAAACTTTCAAATCAATAACTACTAAATAATTATCCTAAAATTGCTTTAGGTTAGGGAATTTTATTTTGTAACAGCTTAGTACAAGACAAAGAAATAGAGAAGGAAAACTTGTAGTCCTATACTCTGTTATAAGACAAAGAAATAGAGAAGGAAAACTTGTAGTCCTATACTCTGTTATATACTAAAGATAATTCGAAGAGGTTTGTAAAGAAGGAATAAGATGGATTCACATTAGTTAGGTCAATCATACATAGCCTGAAACTATTGCAGAAGAAAAGGTCGTCGTTGCAACAAAGAGTTCGGGTAAATCTAAATCATGAGTCCTAATGGTTTCACTGTTGATTTTTCAAGAAATTATGAAAGCTTATAAAGTCAGCAGTTGAAGATCTTTCACGAATTCTATGAAAATGATGGCTTAAATGCATCTATCAAGGAGAACCTCATTTATTTAATTCAGAAGAAAGAAAAGGCTAGAGGTGTGGAATATTGTAGGTCAACTTCTTTGGAAACTAGTAATTATAAGATATTGGCTAAAGTATTAACTGAAAGACTCGAGGAAATTATCCCTTATATTATTTCTTGAACCAAAATGCTTTTATTGAAGAAAGAAAGATCATCAACCCAGTTTTGGTGGCTAATGAAGCTATGGAAAACAATAAAAGCAGTAAGAAGATCGGTTGGTTGCTTAAATTAGAACTTGAGAAGGGACGTGATAAGAGTGGATTGGGATTTCTTCTTGGAAATCTCAAAGAAGAATGGTTTTAGGGAAAGTAGAGAAGATGGATAAAAGGTTGAGTTCATAGCACCAGATTTTCATTTTTTTCCCTCAATGATAAACCACATGGAACAATTTCTTCGTGATTACTAGTGATGTGTTGAGGAGATTGCATGAAAATGGCCTTTCTAATAGTGAATTTGAGGGACCTTTTTAATGGCAATAATGTTCTTCATATTGCTCATCTTCATTTGACGATAATACATAAATTTCAGTCTAGATAAATTTTATGATTGAAAATTTACTGATATTCAGAAACTTGTTCAGATGTGGTGTCTTTTGCAACAATAATCCTTTTTGTATCAAGGTGTAGAATCTTTGTGATGCTGTAAATTAAAGGGCTAGGGTAGCTCAGCTCAGGAGAGTTCAGAAGATTGGGGATTGTAATGGTCTTAATGGCAACTTTAATGCTTTCATTAGTACTTTCATTCTAAAACTTTTAACTATTTGAATGAAAAGTTTGGTTTCTTTAAAAATAAAAAAAACAAAACTATCAAAATATTAGGTGACCGGAACTGGTTAAAGTAAAATTACTGTAAAACAAAAAGGTTAAATTAGTGTAAAACAAACAGGAGTCTGATTTCAATTTAAGGAACATTTGAGAATCACCCTTAACTACAAGCACAAAACTACGGCCAGCTATCTCATGCTTGGCAAATATACTTACTTTACAGAAGGACAACAGATTATTGCATCTATTCTAGACTACTTGAACCCTTAAGGTAATAATAATTTGTTTTATAGAAAGGAGAAAAATAAATAAATGACATACTCTGTTGATGTGCGTAGTAATTCATACACCATTTCTGTCTGCAGATGTAAAAGCTTGTTAGTAGTAGGCAGTTATACAAAGAGTTAGCACATAACTAGGTCTCAAGAGATAAAACAGGGGAAGATTTGAATATATATATATACATAGATAGATACATATAGATATAGTATGTATATACACACACACACATATGCAGGACCTGTAAGACATTTGGCAGATTAAGTCTTTGAGCAAGTTGGGTGGCAATGGTTGACTTCCCAACACAGGCAGTTCCACATACAAGAATCACCAAAGGGACCCTTTGATGGTGAAATCTAGCAAAGATTACATAGGACTTAGCAACATATAGAAGAAGTATGAAATGCCATGGTCGATTGCACCATATTTGTTGGAAAGATGATACGAGAACCCTAATGTATTGACCTAAGAAGCCTGTGATTGCAGACCCATAGCATAAATATTCCATTCAACTTAAAGGAAAAGTTAAAAGAACATTACCTTTGGTTCGAGTTCGTAGAAGCAAGAACCCAATTCCCTACTCCAAAAGGCAAAAAAAGAAAAAGAAAAAAAACTCCAAAACACTCCACAAGTTCGAACCAATCAACCTTTCTATGACATGCAAATTCTAAACTATGCACAAGATTTGTAAAAGGAGTTCAATACACAAAGCAACTGAAAAATGTCTTAACAAGACCCAATTCATTAAAATCAAGTTGTCCTCACAATGATGCACTGGAGGGCTATTTATAGCCTCCAATCAGGGGCTCTCTAAAATGGAAAAGAAATCTTCAATTCCCGACATGGAAATGTTGTGGCTTGATTTTCATCCCTTCATGATCGATGTGAGTTGGGTGCTTTCATGATCACATCAAAAATTATGGATTTCCAACCCTTTTTAGTTACTTTATCCCTTAGTATTCAAGCTTTTCCATAACACGTATTCATCAAAAGAAGAAAAAACATTCATAACCAATATTCTTACTAACAGAATAAATCAGACCAACATTAGAAGAAGAAATAAAAAATACTCTTGATAGAGTGCTTGTGATCTTATGTTCTCAAAATCGATGAAATGTGATATTGCATTATCATGCAACAGCAGTTGAAAGTGAGAACTATGGGGAAAAGTAATGGGGAAGATAGAGAGACAAGAAAATGAAGTACACATTCTGCATACACTTATTAAGCCTAATGAAGTCCACACTCAAGGAAATGTACAAACCTCGTCATCATTTTATACCGATTTATGTACTCTTCCCCATAACCACGCCGTTCCATGAGCTATAGGTACACATTACAACATAATGAAAAAGAAATAGTAATTCATCAGCTTTATATTTCTCTGCAACCTTGTTAAAGCTGTATTGTAATAAGTGAATGCAAAATTCAGCATATAAAAGCAAAACATTCAGCTGAGATCATATACCTTGAAGATATTAGCTTCCAAATCAGATTGTGAGCTACAATAATATAAAAACGAAATTAAAATTAAAAAAATAAAAATAAAAAAAAGTCCGATGTTAATATGCGAAGGAAGAGAAGACAGGAAATATGTCTCACACATCTAAAAGGCTATTATCTACGAGCAGCTTCTTGAGTTCCAATGCAATTTTAATAGCAACATGATTTGGAATCTGAAATTAGAAGAGTAGGAATTAAGATATAAATGAGAATTCAAACCAACATTACTTTTGCTCCCCAAGCAGAGACTAGAAATAAAAAAGACAATAAATTATACTCCTAACAACGATGAATGATTTCTACTGAGACATATTAAGCAAAAACTGGGCAAAAGACAGTAAGAAAGTGTTTCAAAAAATATAATTCGGATGCTCTTGTACCTTGGTTACTGTCAACATCCTGCTGAGCAAAAACCGCGACAAGACATAATAGTGATCCGCGTTATCTCCCAACCACACCTTCACCTGTCATAAAACAACACAAGCGACCACATGCAATAAAAAATCAAATAGAAATTTAAAAAAATATATATACAAGAACAATGAAGTAGAATTCCTAGGTGAATCCGAACAAGAAATCAAGAAGGAACGTGAAATCAAACTGAAATTGAGCCAATTCTTACATCTCCATCAGTTCACTCAGCAGAGAAGCAAAGAATTGAAAGGAAAAACAAAATTTACCTTGACAAAATCGTACTTGGAGGAGGTGTTACGCGAGGGCAATCTGGCAACCGGCAAAGATGACCAATCTTTGAGATTGTCATTAGATTGAGAAGAGTTACCGGCAGCGGTGATTGTTTCATCGGCGGTGCTGGTGCTGGTGCTGGTGCTGGTGCCGGTACCGGTGTCGATCTCGAGGTTTGACGTTAGCACAGAGACAGCCATCCCCTTGTCCTTCGGTTTCTTCATTTTCTTTTTCCGTGTTTTGCTTTCTATTTCAATGATATAACCACAAAATTCGGGGTATTTATACCCCACTCTCTAGGTGATTGCCATGTCACATCCAACTATATTCAACTAAGTTTTCAACTTAGGATGTGTTGGATTATTATTTTTTAAGGGTTTAACTTTTTTAAAAAAAAAAAATGCATTTTCCTCGGCTCGTTCTCTTCTTTTTTTTGTTTCATGTAATCGTGTTGGGCCGGGATGGTCCGATTTTTTCCACACTGAACTTGTACCCAACCCGAATCGAATCGAATCCTAAAATCACAACTCACCCCAACTTTTATACTTGGATCATCACTCATTATTTGTTGCAATCTATCATTAGCTACCACCAATGTCAGAGGTCGAAAATCACCCTCAGTACCCCGATAACCATCTCCTACCATGACGGTTGGCTTGCAACAATTGGATCCTACTATCATCACCTCACCACCTACAATAAACTGTCACCACCTACCATCAACGACCACTCTCACGGCTAAATGTGGTCGGCTAATCATAGTATTTTAAATAAAATTTTAAAGTTATTAGTTGTGTTTAGTAGTAACATTTGTTTCAAAACACTTTTGAAAAAAATAATAATAAAGACCTTTTCAAAAATAATCCAAATTGTATTTAATTGGCTACAAAATATTCCTGGTTTAAGATGGATAACCCTTATTTATCAAAATTATTTAGTCCTATCATTCACATATCATAACATAACATATACATATTATATCATAGTCTTATCGATTTATAAACTATTCACACATGTCAAATATATAGCACGTGAAGAACTAATGGGTCACGTGTCAACACACAACATCAACTTCTGTCTAATTCTTGAAGAAAAGTATAGAATAAAAGAAAAGAACTAACCAAACCTTATAGTGGAGTGGGGCGAATCATTGAATAACCCACTTTCAAATCAAGTTCAGAAAGCTCACACTTTTTCATTTTACCCTAGTTTCTTTCCTTTTTTTTTTTTTTTTTAGTGATCTATGGCTTTGGCTCCAAAGTCCGCTCTCACCCTCGACCAGCTCCCAGTTACCTGAAAACTCGATAAGTAGCCTACTTACAGGCTCTTGATTGCATTCTTAAGCTAGGGTACTGTAACTCATATTGAGTTTTCAAAGACTTAGCATGTAAAACTTATCTTGATTCGTATCACATAGCCATCCTGAAAACTTTCCCTAAAGTGGCCTTTAAATCTCTCCCCGTGGTTACATGAATGGTGCAATATGATCATGACATCCTGTTGGTAACTTCTAATGCAGAGCATCGAGGAAAAAATAGGATGCCCATCCTGACATCCTTCTTATGGCACATGGTGGAGAGCATCCCACCTAAAAGAGGAATTAGGGTCTTGTAACACACCGCGTGATAGGAGAATGGTCACTTTCAGGCATGGTTCTTGGCAACTTAATTATCATAGGACATAGGGTAAGATCGTCGATGATCCTAGGGATATTCTTGGTACGTGGTTCATTCATAAACCTAGGAGATGTATGTGATACGCAAAGGTAGCCTTAAAAATTTCCTTAGATATAATTTAGGTGGTAACTATATGGTATGGACGTCTTAAAGAGGGCACCCTAACGTAGTCCGTGGACATTAAACCTTATTAATACTTTGATAGTCATGTTCAAGGTTGTGTATAAAGTTTCAAATCATTTAGGTGTTATTAAGGTCGTGAACCGTTTGTATCATGGTCGGAGGGCATTATGGTCATTTTACATCGTCTCTTGGTTTACCAACTTAATCTTGTCCAATGACTACCAAATTTCGTACATAACTTTAACATACCATATTATGCCCAATTTTAAAGTTTCATAGGTAGCGAATTTCATTTATGGGATCATTTTAAAGTCACTTGATTCTTGAGCAAAATGTTCGGTTTGAATCCTTAACTCACGGTTCCTACTGTTTTTCTTTCACAATTCATTCGTTTATACTTAACTTGAGGCTTGTATTGAATTCCAAGGGATTCCTACAAGTATTTTTTAAGAAAAAACTAAATTGACTACTTACCTCTTGTCTGGTGTCTGGAGTCTTGCTTCTCGAGCTTTTGGTACTAGATTTTTTTAAAAAAAAATTTTGGCAGCCTTCTTAAGGAGTCTAGTTTCCGAAATCCTTGAGAATTTTGTAAGAACCGACCAAAAAGAGCTCAATTTGATGAAAAATCAGGGAGAGACAGCTTTTTGAGTTGACGTGGCAAGTTCAGTTGAACCGACCACGTCATCATCATCTTACTCCTGGGAAGAAGACGCATGCGCCTTGTTGCCGCAACCTAAAAATGGCTTTTCTCCACTCATTTTAGGACATTTCTCCCCTTGATTCCTTCATGAAACATAAAAATGTAGTGCCAAAGAAGAGCTAAGGACTGATATATTACCTCTTCATGGGCTATAGCTTAAGTTATCGGTTTCCAAAGTTGGTTATGGACTTAATTTTTCGTCGGTGTCAACCGAGAGGAATTTTTTATTGGGTAGGACTTTTGAGGCACTCTTAGGCCATGTTTTCTTCACAAGAATTTTTTGTTATACTTCTCCCAAACTAGAGGAATGAACTTGGAAGAGCGTCTCTACATGGACGTAGCCGATTTCCTAGATTTCAACCCAGAACACAACGTTTGATCTTTATGGGCGACTCAATTCTAAGCGAATTAGCCCTCGACCCCTTCATTAGATAAGCTTAATTTAGTCCCCTAATAGAAACCTTAATTTTGAATAACATGGGCCATAAACAAGAATTTGAGTTTTACCCCCAAAACTTACTCAATATTGAATTTCTCCAATTAGGCACGTTCTTAGGGTTAATGTCCTTCGTTGTCTTCTATGGAAATATCCCTTGTGGGTGCAGAAATCGACTGGGATGGATCTCACATAGTGAATTTGCTTGTAGCCTGAGATTGAGTTTCTCAAGTTTTCTTCGAGCTTCTTCAATGGCGAGCAAAATTGGGAAAACAGGTTTGAGAATTTTTAGTGCTTCCTTTCTCCATCGAACTTGTGGGTAATCTTATTTAAAAGGTGTGGGATCAAGTTTGGAGAGAAAGGGTGGACTTTAGCTCATGAATTTGAACTGAACTCGAGAACTCAATACCTAGGAATGAAAAGTTTATAACTCTCGGTTGAAGGCTCGATATTGCTTGCTTTTTGATCCAAACGATTTCCTATCCTTCATAATTTATAGAAGGAGGATCCATCGCCTTTGAAACGTCTCGAATTGTCGTAATTTTACATTTGATCCTTATGGATTTTCTACGAAAAAAACAGGCTCCCATTAGGGCCTTGTAGACCTTCGTTTCAAATTCCTAACGGTTAGATGGGATGGGCTATAAATGTTCTAGATCATATTCAATTTCGAAAGAGATCTAACGGCTAGATTTTGAGATACCCGGGATAATTTACATAAAGGTACTATGGAGGATCAAATTTGGTTAGTAGGGGCAATTTCGTAATTCTTTGTATCATTAGGGGCATTTCGGTAATATGCCATTTCCAAATATTATAATATTATTTTCCTGAAAAATCTGACATTCTTTTAAAAAGCCTTTACCTCTTCTTTTTGGTCACTTTTTCCTTTGAGATTCTTTGTCTGTAAGAAATTAAAAATTGGGAAAGTTTTGTAATAATTGAAAAAATGTTTTTTTTTTTGTTTTTTTTAGGATTTATTGTATTACAATGTCTTTGTCGATCTAATTCTACTTAAATTCTCGTTAATTTTGTAAAAAATACTAGGAGATCGGTGATCAAATATCTTAAATTAGTCCCTTTGAACCCTAAACCTCAAAATCATATTCAAATGGAGGAGAATTTATAAAATAATAAAAAAAAAAAGAGTTAATCGTTGACCGTTGATCGACCTGCTGACTGGAGCCGAGTCAACTACACGAGTCAAGTCATATTCATGTTGTAGCCGAACTTCATGCATGATCGAGCCAAGTCACAGAGTTTGTTGGACTAGGCTTATAGTAGATTGTGCAAGAGACTTGAACTCTAAGCTGTTATCAATGTTGGGTTAGGCTCAAGTTGGTATTGAGTTGTTCGGGTAATGGATTATACGTTGGTCTCTAGGTTTCTTCTTGCTCGCCACTTCAACGACACTCATCGCAATAAAGTTTACTTATTTCCACAAACCTCTTTTTACCACCAAATGATCAACTTGCGACGACGACGACGATTGAAATTTGTAAATCAACGGTCTTTTCGAGTTTCGATTACTCAAAGATCTTGGGCTTGTTATGAACACACAAGTTAACTCTAAATGAAACTCTGAAATGAAATCAATGGTATTGTAACAGATAAAATTAGCAAACTCCAAAAATAAAAAATCAACGGTCCACTAATTAATTTATGATCTAATTAAATGCGTTATAATTTCTCTCATCACCACAATTATCCCACCATATTCCATGTGTATACAAACGACAACTTGCGACTTGCTCGGTAATCAATGTTGAGGTATTGGGCGACTTCTTAGGGTCTACGACAATACCTTCTCATATTAGTAATAGTAGTCGGACAAAGCTACTTCATTACAAATTTAATCTTCATAGGGTCTACGACAATACCTCCTCATATTACTACATGCTCGAAGATAACCACCTAATCACACCAAAATTCACACTTCGAAAATTTGGTAGATAGTTTTTTCTCCTAGAGTTGTCAATACTTTCCTCAGATGCACTTTATGATCTTCCTTTATCTCTAGAGTATATCAAAATACCATCTATGGACACAATTATAAACATTATCCGAGTATTACTTGAACACTATATTTATTAGCTCCATAAATATTGATGGTGCAATCGTCGATCCATATATATTAATGTTTGTACCTCTTTCGAAATGTCTTCTTGAGATATATATCTCTCTTTATTACCCTAATTGGTGATATCCCAATCGCAAGGTCATCAATTATCGAGAGTGGATACTTGTTATTAACGGTCATTTTGTTCAACTCTCTATAATCTATGTGCATGTGCATCAAGCCATCATTCTTCTTCACGAACAACATAGGTATTTCTCAAGGTCGTACGTTTGGGCGTGTGAACCCTTTATTTAATAGTTTTTTAAGCTACATTTTTCAGTTCTTTAAATTTTGTTGAAGTCATTCTGTACGGGACCTTTAAAATAGGAGTTGTTCGTTTGAGCTTGATATTAAAATCAACCTCTCGTATCGGAGGTATTCCTAGGAGATCATCAGGGAACACACCCACAAACTCTCTAACTACGGTACTAGGTTTATATCAACTTTTGCACATCTCGTGTCCATGACACTGGCCAATACACCCTCACACTCTTTAGGAGATCACACCTTTAATGCTATATTAACCTTTCTACCACTTTAGTTTAAAACCACCCAAATGTATGCCTAAATCATAAATTTCAACCCATTAAAACTCATATTCTTAAAACTAAGACAAAATTTATGGATAGTTATTTATTAGTTTAAAGACAGTAAAAATGTTGAGCATCATGGTTAAGGCAGGTCAGGTCGTGATCAAACCAACCACAGAATTTCTATTGGGCTTTTGAACAAGATGTACCTTGTTGTAATAGATACTCGAACCATCAATAGAGTAAATGTTTGACTAAAGAGAAGAAATTTGTTATAGTTGTGGCAAGGAAGGACATATCACTACAAGATATCACCGAAAGAAAATGGTAGATATAGGTTAGTTTACTAAAATATCTAAATAGGAACAGGGTCCCGTGTTTGCCACTACCCAACAAGAGGTAAAAAAAACTCTAATTTCAAGGTGAGGCACACTATTTATTTTTGGTCAATATGCTTGATCATTTTATTTGATTCTGGTTCTATATTTATATTTGCATCATTTCTTGGACGAAATCATTATAGAACTAGACTTTTGAACTGTACGTTGACTATAGGGGTGTTCATTAAACCCAAAAATTTGAACAACCCGATACCTTAGGTTCAATTTGTAGTTCTCGATCATCAAATCATATAGATATTCCAAAAAAATTTGATCAACTCAATCTATATAAGATTGAATTCAAATAAACAGAATGTTTTATACATTGAAGTTAGTTAAATGATTCATGGACTGAACTAATCCACTCGAATTTATTATTAATTAATTTTAAAAATATATTTTTGTTTACCTTACCATTATATATATATAATTATTTAAATTTTATTTAACTTCATAACTATTTTTTTATTATTTATTCTGAATCTAATTTTTTAAAAAACTATTTGAAAAGTAAAATTTTAAAATGTAGGCTTAAGTTTTTATAAAATAATTTTTTTTTACACTTATTAAAAATAAAAATTTGAATAAATAATAAAAAATTAAATCGATATTCAACCGGTGGATCAACTATTAGCCCATGTAACCTAAACGGAAGAAAGAGGGAAAATAAATAAATAAATAAATATGGCTTATCCAGTTGGGCGGTTATGGTTTGCGCCATCTTCGTCGACGGTAGGCGAGCAAGAAGAACCCCAAAGAAATGCTCCTCAAACAATTCCATTACTTCCTCTCTTCCTCCACCAAACTTCCCTTCTTCAAATCCCCAACCGATCCTAATTCGATCTCACCCTTCCGTTCTCCAAATCCCGCAAGACGATCCTTAACAGTGAGCGCCAGTCTCATCACTAACTCGGACTCCTTCGAGGTCGGACGCCTCATTGGAAGCTATGGCTTCATGAATGTCACCAGGTATCTTTCTTTTCCAATCTATGTCACTCCTGTTTTTTCGATTAGGAACTTTCATTGTGTTTTGTGACCTCCGTGCTGCCGTTTGTCGCTATGAATGAAATTTTAGCGACTAAATTCACTATTGTTGTAAAGAAATGCTTAATTTTCTTTCCTTGCTGTTAATCTTAGTTCCTGTTCTTCGATGTGTATGGAGAAAGGATTTTGAGTTTGAGTTTGAGTTTTTCATGGTTGTTGAGCCCTATGCATGAGAAAATGTTTGTTAAGAATGATGTTTTGATACCATGTTAAGAATGAAAAGCTCTGATAACATGTTAAGAATTAAGAATGATGCTCTAATGCCATGTTAAGAATGAGAAGCTCTAATAACATGTTAAGAATGAGAAGCTCTGATAACATGTTAAGAATGAGAAGCTCTGATACCATGTTAAGAATGAGAAGCTCTGATACCATGTTAAGAATGAGAAGCTCGGATAACATGTTAAGAATGAGAAGCTCTGATAACATGTTAAAAATGAGAAGCACTGATAACATGTTAAGAATGAGAAGGGTAAGTGGGATTGAAAGTCCAAGAAATATAGGTGGGAATTTCAATCCCACTTCTGTTTCTCGGACTTTCGATCCCACCTATATTTCTTGGACTTTCGATCCCACTTATATTTCTCATTCTTAATATGTTATCAGAGCTTCTCGTTCCTCCCCTCTTTTCAATTCAATATGTTGCATTTAAATTTGGTGGTTAAGTTTGGAATTTATTTGAATTTCACATTACGTGATATTTCCCAACCCCGACAGCTACTCAGGGTTTCAATCAGGGGAAGGCGTTGAATATTCTTCTGGAGATTTAGGGCAATTGAGAGTTCAAGATGTTGGAGAAGGAAGTGTAAAGATCAGGTGCTCTTTTGATGCGTATCTGTGTTCTAGGGATTGAATACAAATTTTCTTTATCCATCTCCATTACTGATACTATCTATGGCAGTTCTTCTGCAGGCTTTATGAAGGAAGAGTTTCTCAGGGTTCTCGTAAAGGAACTTCTCTTATTTTTAAGGTGATACTCTTGTGCACCTTCGTTGCTTTGATTCTTCTGGTTTATTATGGGTATCTGTCTTCATTCTGGTTTGAAATATTGGTTTAATACCTTTCCTAAAATCTATATCACCCTAACTTTAATCCTGAACTTCTCAAGGAGATTAATAAGAGGTGCCTCGATTTCGATTGGTAACTAATGGGGTATAGTTGCAAATTGACTTTCTAATGAACTACACCATTGGGATGAATTGAGTCTGGCTTTCTCTACCCCGTTCAGCCAAGCTCTAGGCTTCTTTGTTAAAAGTCTTTACTCTTGTTCTTCAATCAGAATTTAGTCTTTCAAATACCTATCAGTTTATGGTATTTCATTCTCATTTTGGAACTTGTGTTGCATTTAAATTATTAAAACATTGATCTTGAAAAGGTAGAGAGAACAACTTGATGTAAATATTTTGTAGAAACATGGACAATATTTTTGTAACTTCATCACATTTTGTTTTAAGAATTTTCATGTAACTACCTGCTTTTCAAGGTTTAAAATTACGAATCGCCACGTACACTCAAGGAACGAACAATGTTTGCAAAGACACATAAAAAATAGTTTACAAAATGACATAAACAATGTTTGAAGAATAGTGTTTTTCAATTTTCATTTGGATTATTCCTTTGGTGGAAAAACTTGTTATAAATGGCAGAGTCATCTGGTACGAAATCACGGTGGGGATCGAAAATTTTGAGCTCTAACCTCGTAGTAGAAAAATTTGATTTAACCAATTATTTTAGGGTTTGACAAGGAGTTAGTGATTTGTTGGCCATGCAAGACCTTAATCTTTCTCTCAAAGAGGTGATGCCTAGAGACATGACTGACACATACGGGAGGAAAGTAAATCAACACGATTGTGGAATTATTCGATTATTTCTTGCCAAGGATCAGAAGTATCCATTTATGGAGGTGACCCTGACGAAAGAATTATGGGATAAGTTCGAGACCCAATATATGCAGAAAAAAGAGTAGAAAATAAACTCCATTTGAAGAAGAAATTCTTCCGTTTCGACTACAAGAAAGGTACTTCAATGACTGAGCATTTGGATGACTTTAAGAAAATTATCACTGATTTTTTCAATCTCGATGTTATAATTGATGACGAAGCAACGTTATAATTGATGACAAAGACAAGACGTTGCTGCTATTGAATTTTTTGCCAGATTCTTATGTTTAGTAACCACCTTACCACATGTAGCCCATGATATTGATTTTAAGGATGAACCAAAAGGTTTATGAATCAAATAGATGAGAGATGAACCAAATAAATCGCAATACATGCATGAGAGATGCATGAACCTATCATTCATGACAACTTTCAACAATGTTCATCTTGTCAAAAGATCTCCAAACAGATAACCGGTTTGGCTGCCACCAAGTTAACATGCTACTTCTTCCCTCCAACATTGATCAGATCCAAGCAATGCCAAAACTTTTCAGCAATCACCTTTGTGAACATATCTGCAGGATTATCAGCAATTCTAATTTTCAATAAATGAGTGTCCTCTTCATTAACAATTTCTCGAACGAAATGAAATCAAACATCAATATGCTTGGTACGAGCTCGATGGACTTGGTTCTTCGACAAACAAATAGCACTTTGGCTATCACAAGACACAACATATCTACGTGTTTTTGAGAAATACCCAAGTCATCAACCAAACCATGCGTCCAAATAGCTTCTCTAAAAAGCTACAGTGACGGTTATAGGAGCTATTTGGATGCATGGTTTGGTTAATGACTTGAGTATTTCTAAAACATATGTAGATGTGTTGTGTTTTGTGATAGCCAGAGTGCTATCTGTTTGTCGAAAATCCAAGTTGATCATGCTCGTACCAAGCATATTGATGTCCGATTTTATTTTGTTCAAGAGATTGTTAATGAAGGGGACAATCATTTATTGAAAATTGAAACTTCTAATAATCCTGTGGATATGTTCATAGAGATGATTGCTCGTGAAAGATTTTGGCATTGCTTAGATCTGATCAATGTTGGACAGAAGAAGAAGAAGTAGCATGTTGACTTAGTGACAGACAAACCATTTATCTGCTTGGGGATCTTCTAACAAGGTGAAGATTGTCTTAAGTTGTCACGAAGGATAGATTCATGCATCTCCTATGCATGTATTGACATTTATTTAGTACATAACTCTCATTTATTTGGTTCATAACTCTTTTTGGTTCATCTTCAAAATTAATATCATAGACTCCTTGCATTAAGGTAATTATAAAAATTTATAGGACTCTAGCAAGAATTCAATAGCATCAACGTCTTGTCTTCATCATCAATTATAACATCAAGATTGAGCAAATCAGTGATAATTTTGTTAAAATCATCCAACTGCTCAACCATTGAGCTACCTTTCTTGTAGTCAAAATAAAAGAGTTTCTTCTCACATGGAGATTATTTTCCACTCTTTTGCATATATAAGGTCTCAAGCTTATCCCATATTCTTTCGCCATGATCACCTTCATAAATGGATTCTGATCCTTGCCAAGATAGGACCGAATAATTCCACAAGGTTGTTGATTTACTCTCCTCTATTTTGCGTCTATCATGTCTTCAAGCATCACCTCAAGAGAAACATCAAGATCTTGCATGGCTAACCAATCACTAATTTCGCCTGGCCAAACACCAAAATTATTGGTTCCATCAAATTTTTATACTTCAAGATTATAGCTCAAAATTCTCGATCCACGCCGTGATTTAGTATCAAATGACTTTGCCGTTTGTAACAAGTTATTCCACTAGAAGAATAATTAGAATGAAAATAAAAAAACACTATTCTTTCTGACAACTTACAACAATCTCCACTTTGTTAGAAGATTCCCAAGAAGATAACCGATTTTGGCATTGCTTGGATCTGATCAATGTTTTGGACGAAAGAAGTAGCATGTTGACTTGGTGGCAACCAAACCAGTTATTTTCTGACAAGGTGGAGATTGTTGTAAGTTGTCATGACGAATAGGTTCATGCATCTCCTATGCATGCATTGACATTATTTGGTTCATAACTATCATTTATTTGGTTCATAATTCTTTTGGTTCATCTTTCATTTTTATTCATATATGACATTAATGCTTCTATGCCTATATAAAGAATTGTTTTTCTCTGCCTATATAAAGAGTTGTTTAGGATGGTTGAGAGATATAGAGTTTGGTGGAGATTGTTGTAAGTTGTCATGAAGAATAGGTTCATGCATCTTCTATGCATGCATTGACATTTTTTGGTTCATAACTATAATTCATTTGGTTCATAATTCTTTTGGTTCATCTTCCATTTTTATTCATGTATGACATTAATGCTTCTATGCCTACCTAAAGAGTTATTTTTCTATGCTTATATAAAGAGTTGTTTAGGATGGTTGAGAGATATAGAGTTTGAGTGTAATTTTTTGTATTTGTTGAGTGACATTTGGGAGCAACTTTGTTGAGAGACTTTGTAGTGTGAGATATACACTTTGTAAACACTTTGATTATTGAGATTGGTTGCTACCCATGGATGTAGGGCAATTTCTTTTCTCATAACCACGTAAATCTTTGTGTCTCTTTGTTTAATTGTTGTTTGTGACTGTGTGAGTGCGATCGATCTTGCTTTCGCTTCTGTTACAACAATTGCTCATGCCCGAGAGTTGGAGTGCTGCACCCTAGACTGTGAGAGTCCAGTAGCTGAAAGCATCATTAGCTTACGCTTTGACCCGAGTAGCATGTGTGTGTGGGGGGGG